TGGAATAGCCCAAGAAAGCCAAATTTCTCCGCACAGTTCTAACATACAAGTCCCTTGTACGTCCCACATTGATTTCTGCGGTTATTTGACGCAGTGTTGCTTGTCTGTTAGAATTTACGACTCTTTGCAGACGTCGCCGGTCTCGGTCGTTAAGTGCAGGCGGTCGACCACTGCGCTGTCCATGGTGGGATGTTATGCCTGAAATTTCATACTCTCGGCACACTCTTGACACAGTGGATCTGGGAATGTTGAATTCCCTAACGATTTCCGAAATGGCATGACCCATGCGTCTAGCTCCAACTAACATTCCGCGTTCAAAGTCTGTTAATTCCCGTCTTGCGGTCATCATCACGTCGAAACCTCTTCACATGAATAACTTGAACAGAAATGAAAGCTCGGCGAAAGCACTGCGCATTTATACCTGTTCTACGCGATGCTACTACCATCTGAAAATTTGCATACTGCTATCCCATGACTTTTGTCACTTCAGTGTATATATATATATTACAACCGAGTTGTTATTGGTTATGTTCGAAATGTAACTATATTTTGACGATAAAGGAAAAGAAATGAATATATTTACTTCATTTTATTAACGAAATGAATCATAGAAAATCACTAAATGTTTATGGTTAATATCTCACAGAGCATGGAAAAAAAATGTAGCAGGCAGCAATTCTGAAGTTAGGGATAAATAATAGAAATATAAAAGTTATAAAAGGCTGCTACGAAAAGAATTAGAAACTAAATTAGAACTCTGTTACTTGTAAGTTGAGAATTCACAAAGATCAAAATGGGTGGTAATACATATATATTTATGTATTTCTGCTAGCACAAGTGCATGGTGCTGTCTGGTTGAATTCGGGACTACAGTTTGATGTAAAATTTTTCTTTCAATTAAAATTAATTGTTAAAAGAATAATAAATTTAATCCCAATTGTTTCATGTACTTTTTTCTTGAAGTTTGTGCGAAAGTGTTCTATTTAAACATATATTTGGTTTGTTTCGAATGTTCTATTATATAGGCTTATTTATGTTTTATTTTCTAAATTGTCTATATTTATAAATTATTATTATTATAAATTAAAATTTATTATAAAATAATATACATTGTGCATTATACATTTATATATTAATACATATATTATACTTTCTCTACAATATGACAAATCATTATTCATAATTGATATCAGTATATTGAATCCACGATTGAGATTTCTTCTTTTTGGTGATATTTTTTCCTAATAAAATATACCAAAACAAAAACGCCAAAATTCTGGAAAAATTATAATCAATAATTTTTTAATCACAGTATTTGATAAAAATAGCAATTAGTCCGAAATAAAAGTGAGTTATCAATTTAAAATGATGAACATATTCATGAATAATGTAATTCAATGGATAAAACTAAAAATGTTTGATTTTCTGTAGCCTAGAAATGTCGTATCGGGAGCATCTAATTTAAAGGAGGAAATGTTGAAAGATCAGCACTGTTGGATCAGTAGGGTAGGATGATCTTTCTTCCACGAAATTAGCTAGTTCAGAATTTTCTTCTTACTGATTAAATAACTCTTTGATAGAGAGATTATAGCTATTCGAGTTCAGAGAGATAAGGCGATATTTCTCTTTAATAATGGAATTTCAGTTCATGAATATGAAAGCTTTGAATAATGAATATGAAAGTTTTATTTCGCTTCTTTTATTGTATTTATAAGTGCTTACGATTTCATTGTCATAACAAGGCCTTCAAGTAAACACAGTTGCCTGAACAACAATTGGTAAATACTAATATGTATGTAAGAATATACATGATTAAATTTTAAATTCTTATTTAAATAACACCTTGTTATGTAAAGTTAAAAGAAGAAAAAATTTCAAACAAAATTACATTTTTTTCGTAGTATATATCATTCAAAATTCAAAATTTTAAAATTTAATGTCATATTATAAAAGTACTTGATAAAAAATATTACAACTGCATAATAAAATTTACACTGCATAATAAAAGTTCATTATATTCATAATAAATTTCATAATAAATTCATATTCATCATGTTGCTTGTTAAAAATATAAATGCAGTAGTTTTTTAAATATTTTTTAATTAGCTGATGTAGTCCAATAAGCATAATTGTATTAATAAATATTAAATGAAATTTTGAAGAATTAAATTATAAAAATAATATTATAAAGAAAACTAATTAATAGAAAACAGAAAATTACAACTTTTTATTAATTCATAGGAAATAAAGAATCAGTATAGATAGAAAATAGTCCTTTTTATTAATATATCTTTTGAATTTAAATTTCCTATAACAATTCATAAATCCCAAAAGATCTTAATTAAGCAATTTACTTTTTATGTCTGCATTATATTTAAGAAATTTTGATCAATAGCTGGATTTCCATCTACAACTAAGAAAATGAAAAAAATAAATATAAAATAATGAAATTCTCACAAAAAAAATTATATTTTATTATCTGAAAAGATGCTTATTGATTTAAACTTTATGCTGATGTTTTTGACAGTATATCAAGAATGTTGACATACATAATCAAATTTCTGTGATTATAAGATTAAAAAATGTCAACACTTAAATGAACCTTATTATTAATTTATTAAATATTACGGGACTTACACAGCAGGAGATTTTATTATTATTTATTTAATAATTCTGTAATGCATGACGGAACGCCAACTTTAAAAGAGAAATCCAGTTATATTTGAATGACTTAAAAATAAATACAATTATTAATATTCGACATCTTTTTTTTGTCTTTATTTTGGTACGAATAAATAATTGAACGGAACGACAAAATTTTGAATGACACGTTCATTAATTTTTAAATTACTGGATTGTTTCAGTTATATACGTGTTCTGGATAAATATAAGGAGAAAGTGGCAACCGACCTTTTCTTAAAAAAAAATGTCTAGATGAACCATTTTTTTTTTCATTTTAAAAAAAGTTTTCAAAATTAATTTTAATTGCTTAACCCTGCCTTTTTACGTTATTTCAATTTTTTTTTCTTTAATAACTTCATTACTTTCTGAAGTGAACTGTTTCATTTTATCTTACAATCATTTCTTGAAATTAAATATAAGGAAGAGTATATCCATTTTTATTTCTTATTTTATATTTATCATGTTTCTTGTTAAAATTATAAATGCAGTAGTTTTTAAAATGTATTTTTAAATTAGCTGATGTAATTTGACACTAACTGTATTAATAACTACAGTTTTTAATAGTTAACTGTAATAATTACTGTTTTTGTATTAACAAATATTAAATAAAATTATAAAGAATTAAATAATAAATTATTAATAAACTAAAAGAAAAATTTTTAATTTTTAATGAATTCATAGGAAATTACGAGTCAGTATAAACAAACAGATGTATTATTAACTTACATTTTGAACTCAAATTTCCTTTAAAGATTCATAATTCCGAAAAGATCTTAATTAAGCAATTTGCATTTTATGTCTGCATCATATTTAAGCAATTTTGATCAATAGCTGGATTTCCATCTACAACTAAGAAAATGAAAAAAATAAATATAAAATAATGAAATTCACACACAAAAAAATTATATTTTATTATCTGAAAATATGCTTATTGATTTAAACTTTATGCTGATGTTTTTGACAGTATATCAAGAATGTTGACATACATAATCAAATTTCTGTGATAATAAGATTAAAAAATGTCAACACTTAAATGAACCTTATTATTAATTTATTAAATATTACGGGACTTACTCAGCAGGAGATTTTATTATTATTTATTTAATAATTCTACAATGCATGATGGAACGCCAACTTTAAAAGGGAAATCCAATTACATTTGAATGACTTAAAAATAAATGCAATTATTAATATTCGACATCTTATTTTTTATTGACTTCATTTTGGGACGAATAAATAATTGAACGAAACGACAAAATTTTGAATGACACCTTCATTAATTTTTAAATTATTGAATTGTTTCAGTTATATACGTGTTCTGGACAATTATAAGGAGAAAATGGTGACAGACCATTACGTTAAAAAAATACCAATATATTTTTTTATTTAAAAAAAAAATTTTCACAAATAATTTTAATTGCTTAACTTTGTCTTTTTATATCATTGTAAATTTTTTTTCTTTAACTTCATTACTTTGGGAAGTGAACTGTTTCATTTTATCTTACAATAATTTCTTGAGTTTAAATATAATGAAGGGTATATCCATTTTTATTTCTTATTTTTTTAAAATTATTCTTATTAACTGACTTTAAAAGTCTCTAAAAATGATTGTGTTGCAATTATTTTAAAGTTAAAAGATTTCGTTTGGTTCAGTAATAATATTTTTTATGGATTTAAATAAAATAGAAATTCTGAAAAAAAAGTCTAGAAATGTAGAGTAAGATAAACTCACAGAAACCAATCGCACGCTTACATCTAAGAACTAAAATTATCTGGGCTTTTTTATACTATTGAAGAAATATTAATAGTTACAAGTTACATTTTTCTTTCTTGAAAATATATATAATTAATTACATTAATTAGCATTTATTATACTACATTAATTTAATTTAGCTATTTAAATTTATTACTTATGGTATTCCCCTTTTATACAAAATTAAATTTACAATACTATCAAAAATTTAAAAGTTGCATGTAATCTTTAAATTCTATTTACTGTTTTATTTATTATATATATATATATTCTCATATGTTGTTGTTGTTTCTTATCCCACTTGGCTGGCCAAGCCCACGAGCCCATACGTACTCATGATTGAAGGGGAAGGAAGCAGCTTCTGTTGTGATGGAGCACCCGTAGGTAGAAGTCTGACTTTTGCTCTGTGACGCTCTTACAGTCGTAGGAGACCGGGACCTACGGCTTAAAGTGGATTCCGAACCACTACACACATCCATGGCACCGCCGGGATTCGAACCCGAAACCTGTGGCACCGAGCGCCAGGAGCCAGACGGCGCTCGGCCATTCAGGTCCGAAATTTGCCAACGGCACGCGGTGTTCCCATGTGGCCACCCACCCAAGTACTGACCACCGCGCCCAATGATGCTTGACTTCGGTGATCTAACGAGAACCGGTATATTCAGCATGGTACGGCCGTTGGCCACTCTCATATGTAATAGTAAAGAACGAACGTTATTGAAAATATTCTTACGAACGTTTAGAAATTAATTTAATTAATAAAATTTAAAAAAATACCAAATATAATTAATATTTTGACATTCAAGTATGTATGTGAAAACATTATTATTTATTAAAATTATTAAATTATCATTAATTTATAAAGGATAACCTATTATATATTTTTCTGTAATTTTTATCAAATTGTTGTTAAATTGTTATTTATTTATTTTGATATAAATTATATAAAAAAACTCTTTTCCAAATAAATAACGTTATAATTTATTGTTGTTACGTTACTGAAATAAATTGTGAATGTTAAAAAAACGCAGATAATGTTAAAAGGATAATTAAATATACGTTACAATGAAAGAAAATTTTTATTACTATATAAAATGTTAAGATAAGGAAGATCTCATGTAATCAACTGTCCATAAGAATCTTTTAAAATATGCATAAATGCACAAAAAATATATATTATATTGTATTGTAAAATAACTAATAATGTTTCAGTGCTAATTTTTAAAGCTGAAATATTTAATACTTTGGAAATTGAGCTTCGTAAATTATACAATGAATTTTTTTATACTTTCTCCAAAAAATTTTTTGTTTGTTCTTCATAAAAAAAACTATTAAAAAACTATTATATTTACTATTAAAAAATTGTTACTCATAGTATTTTTAATTTTTTCAAATTTAAAAATTTATACTGCAGGCACAAAATGCATCCGGATTGGTATTTAATAATATAAATCCTGATCTTACAAAATTACAGTACATTTTATGCAGGATGTACCAATATCAGATTTGAAAACTTCTAAGATATCTAAAATTCACTTAAACGACTCGAAATCATATAATAATCCTGGTTTTGGAAATTTTTTCCAGATGTAATTGATGGTATAGGACGGATGTGGAAATTCTCCTTTATTTCATTGAGAATGGTAGAAGGATTGCTGATTATACGAATGCAGAACTAACACCTATGCATCTGACTTATACAGTGCAACAGGCTAGTCGTACATTGAGTCTCTAAAACTAACTAACCAAGTCTCTGGCACTACAGTCCTTGCTGGGACAAGTCCATCTGCCTATTGGCAGGTTTCGAGACAGGAGATATTTTCTTTTCACAGTATAGGTTGTCATCCCTACGCGCAACGCTCTACTATCGTATTAGGCTGGGACCTACGGTTTAAAGTAGATTAATGGTTGTCTCTGCAACAATATTACATGAAGCATACATTTAGCCATTGTCACGTAGGACGGGCAACACCAACAATTATTTAAGAGATGTTTTTCCTAGAGAACATGAATTGTGAACAAACGCTCAATTATATTCGGCATTGAAGGAAACTGTCTTAGGTCTGTGGATAACGATATAAGTTCAAGTTCGTGACCTATAGTGTACTACGCCGGAATGTGTCTGACAATATCTGGAGAATTCAGCGAAAAATATATGCGTTAGTAATCCATCTTGGTTAAGGTGGACCATAATGACTATGTTTCCATGCTGCCCTTTGAAATCATCATCACTACCGTTTTGTTTAAAATGAAGCTTATTTTTGAAAAAGCCCCATTTTGCGAGCAGTTGTGGCATATGCACAGGGAATGAATTTGGACTGGAGGACCATGCACCTGTATTATTCTGAGATGCCGGGACTCAATATTTTTATTGTTATTGCAGTATATTGTATATATGTTGAAATTTCTGATTGATGTTTTGTAGAGATTGGCTCTCACATATGGTTAATTGTAAGACATATCTATCCATTTTTTTAAAATTGTAAGTATCAATAAATGTATATTATTTATTTTTTAAATCATGAAATTTGCTTTTGATTTATTTCATGTGTATGTGTTACCTTCGCCAACTTGTATAAGTTTCTGAAGGCATTCGAATCTGTAGGTTTACATGTGGTATTGGTTATTACGGATTTTTTGATATATTATTAAATGGGGTATTGACGAATTCTTAGAGTTTAATGAGTGTATTTTGAATGAATGTTTTGTGTGATATTTCTAGGCACAAGATATTGTTATAAGGGATTTAAGCTAATATCCTAAACAACACTACAGTACTTTCATTTTTCGTGTTTTCTTATACTACCGCATTAGAAAAACATTTCCGATCCTGCGTTATTTTTTACCCCTATAATTTTGAAAATCTTGTACCCGTTCTGCATAACATTTATAGTGAATTTCCATAATGACTAGACATAGAAATCAAAATTAAATAATAATAACATTCAAAATTGTGAAACAATTTGAATTCGAAATTTAGTCAAATAAATTACGATTCAAATTGTTTCACAACTGAATAGAAGGTTATTTTTATTTAATTTTGATCTATTATTTTTATCGAGCTCATTATTTCCGATATTTCTTGGCAACACTTTACTGACTCTTGCGTAAAATGTTCAGCGCGCGTAAATGAGCCCCTTAGCAGTACAGCGTCTCCGTTATTCTTCGAAAGTCCTCATTAGAGGAGAACAATTTACAAGTTGAAAATTCTTTAATGAACTCGAAATTCAGAGCCTCGAACCAATTCTCAATCTATTTTTAAAACTTATCTCATTAAAAAATATTTTAATAAAGTTCTCATGAGTATGTGGATGCGGTTCTGTTTATTAGAGTTCAGTAAGTGGCATTAGTTTACTTAAAAATAAATAATTAATGACTAAGTAGTGTAATATAAAAGATTGTTGTTAAATTTATATTAATACTTAAATTCTGCGGCTAACTTTTTTTTGTAATGTATGTTTTTAAACGGTTAAAATCGGTAATTTTGTAATGTTAAAATGTTAGGAGATTACTAACATGGTAATTTATATTCTTCCTCAAACGGGGACATTTACCAACTTTAGGCAATAGTATGAGCATTGAAAAAATGCTTATTTCTTTATAGTTTGTTATTAGTGAAAATTTTGTACAAGAATAAACACAGTAACAAATTTTTCTGAAAAATAAATTTGCTTAAATGTATCTTGATGTTGAATTTAGATAATAATAATATTCTTGACAGGGCACTTCATAATTTATTTTGTTAATTAACATTGCTTCGACATTTTAACTTATCCGACCGCCAATTCTGAGGTTTTTTTTCATTTTGATTATTCACATTTTATTCATGAAAAAAGTTTCTTTATACGCGAGCATTAGTGGCGGTAGGACGTGAAATGTATTTAATAATTATGCAAAAGTTCATATGATTGACATAATTGATAATGTTGTTGATTCTTATTCCACTTTGCCGACAACAACATCTAGATCAAGTCCATGAACCTTGTGTCTTAAATTGACGAGTTCTGTTAAAGGATAAAAAAATGCAGCTTCTTTTTGTCCATCACCTTGATGCACAAATACGTGGGGTAACCAAAGGGAGAAGTAAGACTTTACCCCACCCGGATTTACGAGTTACTGGGTACCCATTTTAGCGCCCTTTACGACTGGCATGGGCTACAGTGGGTCTATTCTAACCCGGACTCACACGGGGTACATCATTGATGGTTGGGATAGTATATGAATGATTATAACTACTGCTCCAAATATTCTTTACTTATTTTTCCCAACTCAGTTACCTTAATTTTTATATATTCTTTATTATATATACTTTGCAAATTAAAATATGTCTTATGCACTTTCGGTGCTCTGTAAACAACTGATTTCAATTTCTTGAACGATTATTGAATAACCTTTGTACTTTTGAATTGTTTGTCACTTAATTACTAGACAAAACTCTATTTCTTTTTTCAATTGACAGAAATTCCCTCTGTAACAAAAAAAAATTGAACAAGACCTGCACTCCTAGAAAACAATTTTGCCATATATAAGAATTAATTCATATAATAACATTCATAAAAGAATTATCGTATTTAAAGCGGTCAATTGGTTTAACAATTAACATTTTAGGACAGTTTCAAATAAATTATTGTAAGCAAAAATAACTAATAAACAATATAATAACGGATTATAGGTATTATCATGTAATAGCTGAGAAATAATTCATCGACAGTGCCATTAATAATTAATGAATTAATACTAATTCCTAGTCCGGAGGGAGGTCCATCGATTTGGAACTACTACTTTGCGGTAATCACTCAGGACAATCTAAATTCCCCTGACTAAATTTCAAATACTTTTGCATAATTAATTAGATCGAAGTGCTTTCTCTAATTGCCTGGGTACTGTGCTTCAATTAATTGGCAATTAATAGTTTAAACATCGCCAATTTAAGTCGTAGGAATGTTTAGAGACAGCCTTTTTCAAAAACTTTCATGTATTGTATAAATAAACTTAAAATAATTGATAAATAGAAGATATAAAATAGTTAATATTTTTGTTTGATTTAAGCCTAAATTATAATAAAATGAGAACATTAAAAGTCAACTTTAATAATTGGACAAGGGCAAATAAAGTACATTTATCCAATTAAATTTAATTGTTTAAATTAAATTAAATCAATATTTAAGAAAGGTTGTGTTAATGAAAATATATAGTTGGTACTATAAATCAATAAATAGAAAATTAACATGTTAGCAATGGAAAATATGCAATTTATAAAAAATAGATAGTATGTACGAATAAAATGAATGTAGAAGCTTATTTTATTTTATTATCTTGCATTGTAAATTTTATGCTAATTAATTATCTTAGGACATGAAATAAGTGCATATAATCAGATCTGTATACTTTATATCAAACCTTTTGTCTAAAGTACATAAAAACTCTGGGATTTATAGTGCTTTTATTTTAATGTTTACCATTTTGAATTATAAACTAAAGCAGGGCAATTATGACTATACCTACAATTTTAGATAACTCCCGCTGTTCCCAACTCAACTTCGAGAATTCAGATTACCCAGTTTTCAAAAGGAAAAACACTCCAGGTATCAGGTTTTTTTTTTTATTTTTGATATTTTATTTATTATTATTATTTATTCTGACTGTATCACTTATTAGTACAGGGATGCAGACATGAGCA